CCCCCCCATTACCCCCGCTTTTGGCACACGACGGCAAAAAGGTTAGCCATCACTGTGCTAAGTGTTTGTGATCATATGTGAGAAAAGATGTTGGCTGGGAGTGTCTGCTGTCTGCCTGATATGCTGATGTGCATGCATACCTTTAAAAAGAACATTAGACGATTTGAAACTGACTGGGAATAGCTGTATGTTTTTAAAGAGCACTTGTACAATAGATGATAATGCCAAAGAAATTTACAAATTTCTTATTTATTGAAGATACTTTGGGGGAAAATATCTCTCGAGCACATTGTGGGGTAGGTTGGAGACATATCACTGTGGTTGTATGGTGTTTGTATCCTGCTACACATCAGCTTATGAATACCAAATACAACAATGTTTCTGGATACTTAAACTTACAATTGTTTTCTGTTACAGTTTATAGTTGTTTTGCTGATAGAAGAATACACAGTATCATTTTTCCCTCTCAAACACTGATAGAAGCATCTTAAAGTATTTATTAGCTTATATTTATTTTGCTAACTAATTAGTACATGTAAATTAAATTAGCAATTTAAAGCTAACCAATAAAGCACATATCAAACATACAGTAGGCAAAACTTAAAATGCATGGTTAGTGTCTGTTAGTTTTTCTGACATTGAGATGGATTTCTCCATACACTTTTTATATCTTGAAATTAAACTAGATATTCTACTGATCTTCACTTGATCTTATCATAATTAGGTTCTGATGTTGTTTAGGTCTGTGGAGTCAATGGGTGAAGGACAATGTTCCCCTCCAGACTCTCTTTGGAGGCGATACAGTGAATTTGAATTGTTGAGAAATTACTTGCTAGTGAACTATCCACATATCATTGTACCACCTTTACCAGAAAAAAGGGTAAGACTCGGTTTCAGCTCATTCTGTTTGGTTATTTCTTTTATCACATTATTCATACTTGGACTTGTTAAAGTTCATGCCTCTATGATGACATACCAAGATATAATTTGGGGTTCAGGAGCGACTTGGCTTATATTTTTATTTCATGTGCAATCTTTACCCTTAAGGCAGCAAATATAGCCTTTGATTTATGTAAGGAGTGTTTAAAGTTTAAAAAATAGGAGATGTGAGCTAAAAGTGAGTTTGTGTAGCTTTTTTTAAAAAAAAATCTAGTGCTTCATTGTAAATTTATGCAAATCATATATAATGGCTAACATACTTCATATGTCATTTAGAGTGAGAAAATTTAGAGTACCATATTTACCTACATACGTTTTTGTGTCAGAATGCATGTGGGAGAAAACAGTTGATATATGCAAATAGGGAATGAAATAATTTTATAAACAAGGTACCTAATATTACAGACAATTAATTTTAATCAATAATACTAATTCTTATCTTCCTCCCCTTTTTGGAGGCAGTGTGGTTTCTAACAAGTATATATCCACACAAATATATTCATGCATATGAACATTCTTTCTCTCTTATGGGTGGTAGAAACCTCCAAGATTATTCCAGCTAGTGCTCACATCAATTATCCATAAATTGATAATATGGGATGTTGCACATTGTTTTGTCTTCTCATACTTTTAAAGGATCGTCTTAAATTTTAAATAAATTGTTTTCCTGTCAGGTAAATATCATGCAGCACTTTAAAAAAATGTGGATTGCCTTAAAAGGATTATAAATATTTCATACTATTAACCTTCCACCTTGTTTTGCAGGCAGAATTTGTTTGGCATAAGCTCTCGGCAGATAACATGGATCCAGATTTTGTAGAACGACGGAGGATTGGCTTGGAAAACTTTCTTTTGCGTGTGGCTTCACATCCAGTTCTTTGCCAGGAAAAGATGTTTAATGCATTTTTGACCCTAGTATGTTGGTTGGATTTTGTAAAATATACTTATGCACCTTAATTCTAATTCATTGAATATACATTTGTGGTAGAAAGCTCTCAGGTTTCTTTCTCAAGTAGGATTAAAAATTAACTGAAAACTAGGACAATTGATATTATTCAGATAGATGGAATAGCAGAACCAGTGTGAGAGAGTTTTCCGTGTCTCCTCTCGTTCTAATGCTCAATAATTATAGAAATTAGAGTGTGCATATGTTAATATACACACATCAAATGCAAGTTTTCATGTTACAAATTGATTTTTTTTTAACTCCTAGGTGATTTTTTTTGACACTGCCAGCCTCAACCTTTTTAGGAAGTTAATGATTGGCTTAAGATAAACAGTTACAGTTTAGCATAAAAAAACCCCATGTCACTGATAATTACATTCCAAAACATGTATGGTATAAACATTATTGGTATGCATTGGCCCCTTTAAATAGACTATGAGATTAAAATATTTTAAAAAAAGCAAATCTAAAAAATATGTGAAATGCTGGGAATGTTTACAAATACTTTGAGAGGTCCAATATATTCATTAGCCTAATTCCTTTTGTCTCATAAAAGAGTATTAAACAAGTTAACAATGTTAATTTCTATGTTAAGAGGAAAAATACCTAAGAGTACAAATAATGTGTTCTAAAACTGTAATCCTATAATCAAATAAACCCCTGCACTACTATTTATTGTACATACACAATACTACTTTTACAATCTTCTCTCTCCCTGACAGCATCTATTAATTGTTCTTCAAGTGTTTTAATTATATAGAATATTTTATATCTATATATACACATTTGAGCATTGTATGGAAAAAATATAATTTTCTGTCTTCTCAGACAATAGTAGAATTTGGCAATTATCCATTTAAATCAACCGTGAATACAAAATTCTTTACCCAATTCATAAATATAGCATTTGCTGGCACGGGATGTAATGATGTGAGTGATATAGGTTTATCATTATTGTTAGGATTGTTAGATTAGTTTTAACCCTACTGAGAATGGTTTAATTCTTGTTTGTATGGTCTTGGGCCATCACATTGTGCCTTACACAAGGAAGGACAGTGCTGCTATAAAAATCAGTGCATCATTAATAAAGCCTTGAAATAATAATGAATATAATTTCTATTTCTAGGAAACTGGCTGGAAGGAAATGGTAAATGAAACAGGGTTTCAATTGAAGGTAATTACTTTATAATGCACTATAATTATATATCCAAAATGATGTAATCATGTAAACTGACTTACTAATAAAGTTTTGTGCCAGAGTTTAATATTGTGTGCTAAAGTTCTGGCAGTTCAAAATATTTTTCTACAATTACCTTTCATTTAGAAAATAAATGTTCTATATCCTTCTAATTATCTTCTGAAATATGCATATCTACATGGGTTAAAATGCTACTTAGAAGAGAGCATTTGCACATAAAAAATGCAAAGTAACTCTGCATACCTTACCATCTTCATAACTATAAATCATACTTAGTAAGGAGTCATCTGCTATGATTGTGCAAGACAGTGGGGAAAGGAATATACAATTCTGTCTTAAGTGCCAAGCAACACATTAATCTTGCATTTTTAAGAGATACTTAATGCTACCACAAATATTTTGAAAGATGCCTAGCATTATGCTGAAATATTCCAACATTACTGTTCTAATCTGAATTGGGGTTTTATATTCCAGATGCTGTTTTCATGCTTTTATAGCTTAAAGTAATTTTTTTTAGGAAACCAAAATAGATTTCTAATATAATTGCATCGTGGAGAATCCAAAAAGCTGACTTTGAAATTATTTGCTATATATTGAAAATACTTTATATAAGTGTTTTATGAGAGAATTAATGTACTACATCATAGTATGGCATGATAGCAAATAGAATGTGTGTGCTGCTTACAAGCAACATAATTATTGGTCTGCTTTAGCCCCTCATAATGTTTCATTTAGTGCATGAATTATGTGCCAATTTTTCCTATGTGCAGAATATAAGCTTTTTATTATACACAATTTTAAGAATTTTGGTTATATTAGTGAAATATAATATATGCTAAATTTAAAGACAGTAGAATAGAAAGGAGTAAACATTGCAAAAGAAAAAACAGAAGAAAGAGAAAAAAAAGAAGTGACTATCAACATTTATCACAACAAGTATAAACAGATTTAGTGATTTCACCTTATCTAAGGTTATAAATAATTTTATCTCAAATTTCTTCCTACTGAATTTACAAAAGATGCTTGTTAAAATCTTGAAAAACTTAGGAAAAAGAAGAAATGAAGAGAAATATAATCTTATGACAATATTTGAAAAAGCTAAAGATTAAGGCCATTAGAAGTAAAAGGAACAAACAAAGTTGGTTTATTTGATCCAGATTGAAATACATCTTATATTTTACTTTTGGCTTCTGTTTATGGACTTTGTTCTGCAAATTAGTTTTGTTAAATTTTATGCTGCTTACAAGAATTATCACAATCACTTTTGGTTGTAATTTTGTTTTTGTTTCAAATTTAACATGTGTTTCTCCAACAGGCAGATTCTAGATTAAAAGCTCTTAATGCAACATTCAGAGTGAAAAATCCAGATAAGTAAGTGTGATGGGGCTTAAAAGCAATTATGATTATACTAAAGTAAAGATGGAATTCTGGTTAAGTTCAGTGGAATTTGTTTCTGAATGAAATCATGGAATAGTATTATTGTTTAAATGACTACAATATATTTTAGGAGCTCCCTGCTTTAGTGTAATTTAGCAAACAGTGGATATCATAGCCAATTAGATATTATAAGGTTATTACAAAAAATAATCCATTGTCATCCTGCTATAAAGTTTGTTGCTGAAGGGAGTAATTAAATTGTCCTGTTTTCTGTTAGTCAAAAGAGTGGATATCCTGGATACTAAAATATTTTGAACATTATTTTAGAAAAGTAAGAACAGTATCATCCAGCTGCATATAAGCGAAATGTTGGCCTGCACTCTTCAGGTGCAGTATAGTGTCCATAGGAGCCATTCATCCATTTGTTTTCACCTGGCTCTTCAAGTGGTTCAAACCCAAACTTTCTCCAAACTCCAAACAGTGTTGCTGGCAGGATTTGGCTTCCATTCCCTTCATTATCTTGGTAGTCAACTGCTGAGCCCCGTCTAATTGATGGATACTTTTTTTTT